TAGATTTCCTGGACTCTTCATCAGCTAGAGTATTCGCTTTACCCGGGATATGACTTGTGGTTAACCACATTTTGTTGTCAAGGCACCATTCCCAGAGCGTACGGGTTAAATCATTTCGCTTTTTGGAATGGCTTGTGCCCATTTTACCTAAATCTGACACAGCAGTCATGTTATCAATTCGCACAAGGACATGCTTCCCTGATAGTTCTTTATGAAATGCTTTGAGAGAAAACAGCACTGCAAGCATTTCAAGATAATTAATGTGATTAGAAGCTTCTTCAGGGGTCCAATGCCCCCCAATCTTGACATTATTGAGTACTCACCCCCAGCCTCCTTTACTTGCATCTGTGTATAAAGTGATCTCTGGCTGGGGAAGGCTTATAGGGTTATGCAGTGACCTTGCTGAGTTTACCCACCACTGCAAATCATTGCGAGACAACTCAGACAGTTGCATAAATGCATCAAAGTTACCCTTGTTTAAGCGCAAGGCCTCTGTTTTGTCCATGTCCAGTGACCTAAAATGCAAGGGCCCCAGCTGTGCTGCCGGAAAATTTGATATGAGCAACCCAAGAGTGGATGCCACCTCTCTTATTGTGGGGTGTGGACACTGCAACAGGCCTTGACAGGTATGAATTATCTTCTCGATCTTCTCAGAAGTTGGATAGACTGTCATTGTAATTGAGTCTATAATAAAGCCCATAAAGGTGATTCGCTGTTGCGGAACAAAGGATGATTTTTCAGGGTGTACAGTAAACCCAAGGGAATCAAATAAGTTGACAGTATCCCAAACATTTCTTTCACAGTCATCATAGTCATCACCCTGGAGATATGAGTCATCAATATGACTTGCTGAAAGGTGACCCAGATGTCTTAAATGTGAATATACTGGCTTTAATAATTTAGTAAACTTCCTGGGGCAAGATGCCAATCCATTTGGAAAGCAAATATACTTATACAGTTTTCCTCGCCACTGAAACTTCAGGTATTTTTGGTCTGCAGTGGCGATAGGTACAGAATAATAAGCATCCTTTAAGTCTATTGATGCCATAAAGCACCCAGGTTTTACCATACGTAAAACAGTATTAAGTGAGTCCATTTTAAAATGGTGATATTGCACATGAGTGTTTAGGCACTTGAGATTTAAAATAACTCTGAAGGAGCCATCCTTTTTGGCCCTAGTGAAAATAGGAGAGATATATTCCTCTTCTTCGTGACTACTTAGGGTAAGAACACCTTTAGCAAGTAGTTTATCTATTTCGGTATCAATGACATACTGTTCATCCAAGTCAAGGATTTTCTTCTCTTTGGGAACAACTCTTTGATAAGGAGTCCGAGTAAATTCAATTGGCTGGCCTAATATCATTTGCAATATCTCAGGGTCTGAGGTTAAGGCCTGCCACTGACTATAATATTCTCTCAGCCCCCCTTCTTTAAAGCAGGGAACTTTGTGCTCAAGATACCGTAACATATTTACCTTATCTGTAGGAATATCAGATCGTTTCACTGGCTGGACGTCTTCGCGGTTTCCCGTGGTTTGTAGAAATTGTTTTGTGGCCGGTAAGATCGGCCCCTCTTCCCTAAAAAAGGCTTTCCACTAGAGTGAGAAGATTTGCCCTTCCAGCCCTCGCTGTGGTTTCGATAAGATGACTTGGCAGTGGTCGTATGACCAATTTTGTTGGTCGCTTTGATGTTGTTAAGCTGAGAGTGCAACTCATCGCCAAATAACAAGCCCGTGATGGGTACTTGAGAGCCACACAACGCGGAATATTCGGCATTTAAGTTTGGTTTGATAGCGTCGCGTCGACGGTAAGACAGCTCAATGTTTACATGGCCTAACAATGCCAGAGCGTCAGCGTTATACGTGACTAATTTCCCCAATTTCTCAGTGAGAGCCAACGCTGAAGTCTTCTCAAGATCTGCACGGATGGCCAGCAGTGTGTCAGTCGCTTTGGCGACAGCACTCCCGACTTTGACAAGTACTTTCTGCATGTTTGCAAGACGTAAATCCGCGCTCTTGGTCCCGTGCTTCAGCTTATTCCATATCTCGGGGTTGACCTTTGGCACAGTTAATTTCTCACAATTATCGGGTCGATTGTATTGCGCCAATTTTTCTTTTAATTTGGCTTCCTACAACTTAGAGCCCCATCGCTTATTGACGATATCCGCCAATTTCTGAGCGACTTTCGGGTCAGTTTGCTCGTCCGACTCAAAGTCTTGAGCAATTTCATTGAGCAATGCGTCCTCTGTGACAGAGCTGCCCGGTTTTGGCGGGTCGCCGTTGGGCGGGAAATTGAGTGCCTCGGAATCTGACTGTTCAGGGTCTGAATCTCCGCTATCGCTCATTGTACTAGGTGCAGGAGGTTGTCTTCTCCTTTTCGGTGGTGTAGCATGGTCTTCTGGTGCGTCAGCTAAACGTTTCATTGCGTTTTCCATGGACAGCATGGTGGAACTCATTTGGGTCATGGCCGACAACACGTTAGCCAGCACTTTGTCTGTGCCCTGGTGCAAGGGATTCGCTGACTCATTTTCTTCAGAAAGTAAATTATCTTCTTCTGCCGGTGAAAGGGGGTCCCTTTCACTGATATTTTCGGCAGCCATACGGCGATTTTCTCGGTGTTCGCTCAACACTGAGCGAGCAAACAACAAACGTCCGACCTTCCCGAAGGATCGCACACAACTGATCTTCCCGGGCTCGTGCGCTTTCTCACGTGACTCCGTAGCGACCAATGACCAATGACGAAACAGAATCGCGTGGTCCAAGGTGTCAAAAGCAGCGCTTAAGTCTAAGAGGACAAGTAGTGTACAACGCTGCGAGTTCATTTTCAATAGAATATCATTAGCAACTTTGACCAACGCTGTCTCCGTGCTGTGATATCGGCGATACGCAGATTGTAATAGCGGATAGAGACCGGACAAGGTGGTCATATATCTGGTTAAATACTGCCCGCTCAGTGAACTTGGAAATATAAGCCAAGTTGCTTACAGGACGCAAGTTTTTTAAGAGAGATTCAAGTCCCGGTTTCTTTAACAGTGGTCATATCTTCGATCATATCTTCATTTAAAATTTGTATTTCCGCAGTTCATATCATCTCCATTCCATATAATGTTAATGTTTAACAACCTGTTAAGTATTAATTATTAGTTAATTATTGATGAAAAGTTGATTGGCAGATAGTCCAAAGTCTTGTCTACCACATATGTAAATTTTGTTTTGATCCCTTTAACTATAAAGGAAGATACAACAAATTTAACAATACCACCCTTAAATCCTAAAATTTTTAAAAAACGTATTTGGGCCTTAAAAGGGTGATTGGAACAGTTTTGATATACGGTTACATCTTTGTAGTTGCCAGAAGGTTGGAGCAGTCGGTGACTCAAGTACAAGACACTTCAACTAGCGAACAAAGGCTGCCTTTCGCACGGAGCGAAAAGAAGCAAAAACAATCGCAGTCATATTAGGAGCAGCGATTGTTTGCCGGTTCCCTCTTTTGGTTGTTCCTCGGGCCATTTCCAATGATGTTCTTTCAAATTAAACTTCATCAATCCATACATTAACTGTGTAAGAAGCCGCAGGTGTTATGGGACGTTTGTCAAACTGCTTGAGCTGCACAATCTTGCAAAGGTATGATATAGGCGATTGTTGACTGTACTAACACACCACGTGATCAAGTCTCAAGAACACTTGACGGTCCAGATACAACTCAACCTGAAACTTATGACATCGCTCTTTAATGAATATCAAAAGTAAAGAAAAAAAGGGTTTATATATAGTGGATCAATTCGCCAACATCTTGAAATATCGGCCAAAGTGAATTCAATTACACGCAGCCTCATCGTAAAATTTTAAAAAAAATGAAAAACTTCTTTAAAAAAAGAGGAAAACTTATGACATAGCATATAAATCTGTACAATACCATTAACATTAAAAAGATTAAAATATTGCTAAGAAAGATCACCTTCTAGACTATTCTAGACTATACCCATTTTTAAAGCAGAAGACGAGACTGAACCAGATGTATATTTAACAGTTATTCCTCGTTTCCGAATGGGCTCTGAGTCAATAGCCCATGAGGCCGAAGACCGAATGGGCTATTGACTCAGAGGCCATGATGGCGAGAGGGATAATTGTTCTACAAAACAACTTAAGCTAGCAAAACGAGATTCAGCGGCCATTGTTTTGGCTTTCAAAGCCGGCGCTTTCTCCCTACTAGTGGGCTATAACATATAGCCTAGTAGTAGCTCAACCAAACAGAACGCAGCATTGATAATAGACCACTAGTTGGATTTTACTAAAAGGGGTTATATGCTTCTGACTGAACCAAATAACTATCGTTCGATAACTCTATTGTCTAACTTCAACAGAATTTTTGAAAAAAATAATGTATAAAATCTTTCATAAACGAAAATGAAAATATTGCAAAGTGGTCATTGAGAATATTAGGTTTAGGTGTCGTGTCATGGGTAACTTTGTTATTGTTTTTGTAACCGTTAAGTGAGTTAATTTATTTTGCTTTTACGGTTTAACAAATTATTTATTCCTTTCCAGGTCTTTTTTTTATGTCAAGTTTGCATCTTACGTACTTCACAATTCGTAAAGCTACCGTTAACGTCCGTATTACTCTCTCTATTGTAGGATGACCTCACACGTTATAAATAACAACACCTAATATGCATACTATTAGCGTCACTAGGCGTGTCACGCATCACTCCATTACATCTCTCCTCCCATCACGTGGATAGAGAGCACCGGTGCGAAAGAACACCAAAAACCCTAAATAAATAAACTAAATAAAATAAAAAATTGCTAATAACAAGTAAAGTCCTTGAGTCCTTTGCAGAATCTAATATAGTAGACAAGCAAATGTTCGCTTTTCGCTGTATTTAGTGTTCTTTGTCGATCTTGTTTTCCTACTGGGCCTGTCCCAGGACGCATGTCTTCTATCTGTGTCACGCTCTGATCCGGGATGCCCAGATTTCTGCCTACTATCGTATTCAACTGTGTCGCTGTTTGCTCCTGGCTGCTCATGACCTTGCCGTGATTCACTGGATCTGTCCGTTGACACTGTATCTCCACCCGAGCCTGCTCTGGATTGCTCTGGACCTTGAGGGGGTTCACATGACCTATCAATTTTAACCGCATCCGGTTCAAATGCACCATCGCTTTCAGAATCATCACACGGAGGTGATTCCCTGCAACCCTTTTTAAGCAGCTTCTATACGGCGTAATTCCTGGTGCGAATCCTCACGCTGTTCTTGGCAGTAATCATGCTTTCCTTGACGCCAATGACTACCATACGATCCGGGTAACACAAAGGCGTCAGGCTGTCATTCGTTCCTGCTTGCACAACACCGTGTCCCCGACTTAAATTTTCATCACGGCTGGGTGTCTTCTTTTGCCAGCGTATTGCTTCATCTTCTGTTTTTGTTCTCGGTCGCGATAGCGAATAATCGTGTCGTCCCTATGTTTAGGTTGTCCCTTGACCTCAGGGAACTTTCCACGTAATTCCCTTCCGAGCATGAGCCTGTTCAGGATGACTGCAGTAGTTGCATGCTCACTTACTCTGTATGCCCTGATTCCCCTGTGCACTTCATTCCTCACAGGTTTGACTTCCAAAGAAGCGATCCCAGCGGTCTTCTTTATTCTCTGCATAAACCTTTCTACATCGCAGTTTGCTTCTGCCCATCCAGGTGTCACTTAACGGTGCTTAAACCCCTCCTCTTGAGAGTATTCTTCAAATTTATGGCTGTTGAAGGGTGGTCCGTTATCTGATTTGATCTCTTTTTGCACCCCATATGTGTCGAACATCCTCCTGATTATCGGTATTCCTGCTTTCTCGCTCTTGGACTCCTCGAATTCAACCACTGGGTATCTGGCATACTGAGGGTAGAATATGAGGGCGATGTCACCACTCGCCATTGGTCCGCAAAAGTCCACGCTGAGTTTTACGGGCACAACGATCCGGTCCCCTCTCAATACAATCCCTTCTACTACGGTTAGTTCATGGAAAACTTGCCTATATTGTTGTGCCTTTGCATCATTTGTGTCTATCCAGCCTTGGCTGATACATTTCTTTAGCGCTTGTAGTGCTGGATCTTCGTCAGTGGCCTCCTTTACTTGGTTTCTGGTGACAGCTTTGGGCGTGCTGCACGTTACAACATAGTTTACATAACGCCGTACCTCCGTAGTCGTTCTCAATTCAAAGTTGGATCACTCGCAGAGTGGCATAGGGTGCCGTGAGGTGTAATCTGATATGCCAGTTCTCTTTCCCAGGACGATACTCGACCACGAAATCGTAGTCCATCATATGGTTGGCGATCCTTTGGATCTGGACCGAGGATGTAGGGGTGGGTTTGTTGAACACACTTTCGAGAGGCTCTGAGTCTGTCACGATCTTAAAGGGTCTTCCATACAGGAACAGGTGAAATTTATTGCACCCAAAATCACTTGCTAAAGTTTTTGATTCAATATGGCTGTACCATTTCTCCAGGTCGGTGAGGCTGCGACTGGCATACTGCACCACTTTCCAACATTGTCCTCCAGGCAACTGGGAAGAGTAGTCGCTTACGTCAGATATCAAGTTTCCACTGATTTTGACATGTTCAGGGTTCTTTACAAAAATATTATCGATAAGAGTGGATAAGATTATTGCGAGCTTGTGTTGGTTAATTTCGCGATGGAAACGAAGGGAAGGTGTCTTTCGTCATATTAAGGACTTTAGATTGTCTCTAGGCCAAATTTCAGAACTCTTGCGACTAAGAAAGGAAAGTTATTGCAATGTTAAACTGAATTGTCCGGATACCGGGCACATACTGTGTTGTTTACATACTGTACGTGCCAGGGAATCCCGCGCTTTGCAAACCAATTGGCCTTGACGTGCAGGTTCACGTGACCTGTTTTCAAGATACCACTGCGGATTCCGTCGCCACGTTCGTAAGTGCTCTACACAGTCAGCAATGACTTTTCTTACTGACTCCATTAGAAGAAACATGGATGTTGGACTCCTAACAGGTGGACTCTCGTAAGGCACCCAACCTGTTTTCGCGTGAGGTGATCTGTCCAGTCCTCTCTCCTGCCGCCGCTATATTGGAAAAAGAGAAGACCCTGGGGACAAGGTTGGACAGGCCTGATACTCAGGCTACAGTCTAATTTGAGCGGTGTTGATTTTAGGAGTCAGATTAGAGGAGATGCTACTGGAAGAACATCAAAAGTTAGAAACTAACAGCTGAACGTCGAGCTGTTTAGCTACGGCAGGGTAAGGATTCTTATCTTTGTCTGTTTTTTTTTCCTTTAAGTCTCCTCTTTAACTAAAGACTATGCAGCAATATTGAATTTAATAAGCAATGTTCGCAAGTTTAGCTGAGCTTAAAGTGCAGCTTGAACTTTTAAAGAAGTTCAAGAAAAATTATTTCCACCTAAAATATTAATGAACTCCTCTTTATCGAAATTGTAACGTTAACCAGCTTAACCAAGATGAAACGCGTTGGTATTTTTGACGAGAAAATCATACGATCAACCCACTTCCGGCTTTGAGCACTGATTGAACTAGCATCGAGTCTTACACAGTAAGCTTATGTATTTTGAAATAATGAACGAACATTTTGATTCTTCAGTGGTAATTAATGGCCGCCAAGGCATTTCGATCAAATTGTAAGTCGGAATAATGCAACTTTTTTTCCTCTTAAATAAGTAAATACTTTCTTGTATTCAACTGCGTAATATCATTAGCTCGTGAATATTCATTTCCGCAAGTACCATATCCGAAACGAGAAGTAAACACAGACACGTTTTATGTGCATGAGCTACCGTAAAATTCCGAAAATAAGCCCCGGGGCTTATATTTTTCAAAGGCCCTTTTTGAGGGGCTTATTTTTGGAGGGGCTTATATTCGGAGGGAAATTTTGCGTTTCTAAATTGACTGGGCTAGCCTTATAGTTGGAAGTAAATCTATCGTTTTTGCTATGTTTTACTTTGTATTTGAGTGTAATTTTCCAAGTACAAGCCCCCGGGGGGCTTATATTTGGAGGGCCGATTCAACGGAGGATTTTTTGCGTTATCCGTTTGGGGGGCTTATATTTGGAGGGGCTTACACATGGAGGGGCTTATTTTCGGAATTTTACGGTATTTTGAATGCTTCAGTGTAACAGTATCGGCAATCTACTGTTTTAATCCTAAATTAAGGCTATGTTTTGTGCGAACTTGGGTATTGCTGTAGATTAATGAAAACGAGAACCGCAGCGCATAGCTGACTTATTCGATCTGATAAATTCACTTTTCTTTGTCGTTTCTTCAGACATCTGGTGCAAAATAAAACAATTTGTTAAAGCACTATGAATATAAACTCACCAAACGTTGCTTAGAGGGAAGACTCGAAGGTTTCAAGGTTTCTTCATGGTTTCTTAAAATAATGGGTCGTCGAATACCGAATAGTTAAGACATTTATCATTGTTGTAGATGGTTGCATCATCATTATTCACGAGGTTATCACGTGCGATTCTAGTTTAATGAAACAGTCTTTAACTCTCAGGGGCACCCAACGAGAATGTGGTTCAGAACCACTTAAACATAGCATTGTTGAACGTATTTTAGTATTTAAGCGGTAGATATAGGCATATTTTTATCCCCTAAAAATGTTTCATCTGTTAAGATTTCCTAGCTGAAAATCTAGTGATCCGAAAATTGTAGGGATCAAAACTTACACCTTTTCGAAAATTTCAGTCAGAAAAAAGGCTCCCGAAAATTCTAGGTGACCTTTTTATGATTTTTTACCCTGGATGATACCTTAAAAATGGCCCCAATTATACCATTTTTTAGGTGTTAGAAAATCCTAGTAGAGGCAGGCAAGCAAGAAATTTTAGAACTAATGTTCCGAAAATTCTAGATCTCAAGTCATCTTCCGGACAGATATTTTTCAAAAATTGACGTTGGGTGCCCATGAGTTTTTACTTCTTAAAAGAAAAGAGCCTTTGTTTAGTTACTAGTTACAAAACTAAAGATTTCTCTTTCACTTTTTACATTCAGTTCATTTTACTTGCCGGAAAGTAAGCCTTGGAAATTAAAAGGACGTTTGATCGATTCACGTTCGCGCATTCTAGTCTTATTTGAAACTTTATAACGAAGGACATCTGTGAGCAGGGAATAAGTCAGCACAGAATTTGATTGTCGGCGAATTTCTGTAATCGTCCATCGTTCTGCTAGTGATAAGCTAGCCGTTGTTCACTCGTCTTGCTTGTTTGGGGCTGAGTCTTATTCCGGTCAAAGAGAGAGAAAGAGTGTCTGGCAAGGTTTCCAATATAAATCAAAGATTTGTGAACTCATTTCTGGCAAACTCTCCAAGTGTTATCATACACAGTAAACGTACCTTATAACCTCATCTGCTCTTAACGAGTGTCTTTTGGTCCATAACTTTCAAAACAACTGCTCCACAGAATGTCCCTGCGTAACGCAAAAGAGTATTGAAGTATGACTGCACAATAAATGTCACAAAATCTACCTGAGCGGTCCCTTCGGGATTTTCTATCTTTAAGCTGTTCAAGCAATTCGAGATTTTTTCCATATTGTCTGTACGACTGTATATTTCAACTGTAAGTACTTTCCTTAATATACACGCGAGCAAGAGCCATAATAGGACAGAGAGGGAGTCTCCCAGTCACGCCCTTGGGATATCTTAATTTCAAAAAAGTTATTTTTAGAACTATGGGGACCATGCGGTAAACTGGTTGACTTCCGGAAGATTTAGCGGGCCAAAGCGAGGCGGGGTCAATAAATGAAAAAAACGGCTGCCTAAGTGGAGGGACGATGTGGAGGGTGTGTACTTGATCAATTGTCCCTCTTCAACGAAGAACCTACCATAGAAAATGGTTAAAACTTCTACACAAACGGATCCTTTACAAGAAACGGTAGAAATGCAGTTAAGGCGACCGCGTGGACCATCGTTTTTGTTGGAACAGCTGGAAAGAGGACAAGTAGCATTGCGGCCCGGATAAGCGTTGAACACAAAATGCGCGGGTCCTTCAAAGACGACCGTACAAGCGACCGTGTGGACGTATTTTCTGTTGAAAGAGGAAGGAAAAAAACGTATAAAGGTTTCGAGTATTTTTCTTAAGGACATGACCAGGAATCATGTGGAAAACACCTTTTCCTGCTTTGACTGATATTTTGTACCGTGCTTCACATTGGACAATTAACAATTAAGCACTTTAATATTCTTTAACACGAGGTGAATAGAAGCGGAATATTCGCGGCAAGGTTAACTGTGATGAAAACAAGAAAATCTTTGCGTGTTGTTTCCCTCTCCGCCTCTTCTTTCGTAGTCTACTATCTGTAGTGCAATCTTAACGTTCTATATTTGCACGACTCAACCCAGTGCTACAAACAAAGGACAACGCTCGTCCAGCCGTGGTTCGTAGTCCGTAGTCTGCGTATCTTAAACTCCCTATTATGGCTCTTGGCGCGAGTTACTAGAGTTGCCTCCTCGGGATTTCGCCTTCTGGGTGAAATCCCTGCGGGGGCAATTACTGTGAAAAGCCAGCATGAGATGTAGAATCACACAGTTTGCACGTGAAAGTGTCGGACTTTGCCCCTTTCGTGCTTCGTACGTGAGGGAATTCGAGTTATCACACGGTAATCCAGTAAACAGAATTATAAAAATAACTAATGCACACAATTTGCACTTGAAGATGCTGGACTTTGGTTCTTTTACATTTCGTAGGTAAAAAAAGGCAAATTGTTAGTTTCTAGAAAATTTTCTCCAACGATTTTAAGAAATCACTTCGGTTTTACAATATCTGCAATTAAATTATGTTTCATGCAACGTCAAGGTTCACAGCCTAACATTTATTAACTTCCAAGAAAATTGTCAATTGAAACTGCCGAAATATACTCTTACCCATATCATGTTATTCCACTCAATAAAACAATATCTTATAAATGCCAACTACCGTCTTCCAACTTTATTCCCTAACGCAAATGTTTCTTTTTAAAGCCTGGTTTCCATATTATCGCTACGATCACTGTGATCGCTGCTATCGCTGAGACAAAAAAAAGTCAGCGATCGCAGCGATCATAGTGATCATATGGAAACCACTTTCCAGCGATCGCTGAGATAGCAAAAAATCTTTCTCAGCGATCGTTGTCGCTGCGATCGCTGGAAAGTAGTTTCCTTATGATTGCTATGATCGCTGCGATCGCTGAACGTTTTTTTTGTTAGCGATCACAGCAATCGTAGCGATCTTATGGAAACCAGGCTTAAGATACGTATCTTTACTGAATAAAATACGTTTCAATAAGTAAATTTAAATAACTACAATACTTAGTAAGCAGGAAGGATGTATCATGTTGTTCACTTATTCATGCTTTTTTATTTTTTTTTTTGGCCGGAGCGAAAAAGTTCTGTTGAACTTTAAATTGTAAGCGAGAGAAAACTGAATAAAGCTTGTTTACAGGATTAGCAATACCCGCTACAACTTCCAAAAAAATAGGCTGCCTTTCAAACACCTAAAACCACAATTTATAGGCCGCATACTTTCGAATTAAAGTCCATATCTAAATATCAATTTTGTTTCATTGGAAGAGCTTTGAAAATATATGATCTTTTATACTCTACCTTAAAGCAGGTGAAACAGAACTCATAGATACGTGCGTTGTACCTTTCGCGATAACCTAATTCGGTCAGAAATGTCTTGAAGCAGCATCCACGCTAAAATATGAACCCTTAAACAGCTGCATCACTGTACACAGCGTTTGAATCATGAAGATATTTAATGTAATGCTTGTAAACACCTGTAGCCGTAATAAAAGACGAAATATGAAGAATCAAGATGGCGGTCCAATTTCCCTTTAGCAATGCCATGTTTAATTCAATTTAATAGATGCCAAGATCTCATTGGTTCCTAAGCATCAACTCATAGTACCTTTAACCTTATTGGCTATTGCAACAAACATCCGGACATACGAAGCCACAAAGATACATACGCTCACACCACTGACATATGAGCTATTTTTTTAAAATAGCTCAACAATAACTGACCAATCAAACCAACTTCGTTCCCAGGGTTCTCTCTCTTGCTTTAACAAGTAACTCAATTCCCGGCCACATTCCCAACAACCAACAACCCCCAACCCTCCCCCACCCCGCTCCCCCTGCAATGAAACGGTTCACCTACTTCATTTGATGGCTCAGTAAAATACTATAGGCCTTCTGCGAGTTTCAAAATATATTGCTTTCCAAACGAGGCTAATTAAGTGCAAAACCGTGTTAGTGAATTACCAAAAAAATATTTTTATATCAATGGCTTCGCAATTAGCCTGGCTGTAAAACAGAGGCTGATGGAACAACTTGGAAATTATCTATTTCATGTTTGTCCAATTTTTTGAAAGTTTCACAAAAATCGCAGGTTCTGTTGAGGCCCTCTCAACCTCCTCTTTCACTGCTTTATAATATTTTTGCAAAGTCTGTGTACAAACCTGGACATATCTCATTAGATCATTTCAGTGCAACCCAGCTGCAGTTAGTAATATATGAGACACTCGATCCTGCAAGGAAACTGGCTGTGTGTATTCTTGCTGTTGAGTTATACCCCAATAAAACAAAAACCAAAACAACTAGGCGATAAGTTAGGCAAGTTTACCTTTTTTATATTATTGTGTTTCACTATTCATTTGCAAGGCAGTGTCCATGGAGTCTACCTGGTGAAGTGCTCTTCAAATCCTTACCTCAAAATGTCAGGCCTGTGAATCCAACAGGACCCTTTTGTTTAAAAGGTGGATACATACCACTATTCACTGGGTTAACTACAGCACTGACAGCTTGAGAGTCACATTAGTATTATCTGACAAGTGGAAAGTATGATTAATATGTTACTATAGCAAGGACTTATATTCCCCTTCAACATGTATTAATCAGTCATGGCTGCCTCATCTGATTATCCTGAGGTCGTGAAAGCAACAAGGTCAACAAGGAGTCTGGACAATTCAGAGGTTCATTCTTTTTTTTATTTCTTGTTACAAAAAGTTAAATTACTTTATTCATGAATATTATACTATCGTTGACATGTCAGCTTGCATTTGTTGACTGAAATGGTTGTCATGTTGACTAATATTAAGCATTATTTCAAATGAGGCCTGGTCAACATTTGACTTGACAGTCGGCCAATATGTTCACATAAGGGTGCTTTTAGTTCACAAGATCCAAGAAATTTATGGTTAATTATGCCTTGTTTGTTTAGTGGATAACTTCGATTTACCTCTATACACCTAATTGAAGTTTGTGTTTTGTATTACATTTGAAAAAACGAAAGTGACAAATACATGCCAAAACACATCAAAGTCATTTCCCACGCAGAAGGGCATTAGATATTTGTGACTCTTACATACAGGGGGAACTAACGTGGTTGCGCAGTAGTATCAAATTGCAAGATGGCGAATCGTCTAAAGAGAGAATTATGCCCACCATAGCCTGCGAAAGGCAGACGTTTCTCCTTGCTTATCGCCGTTGAGGGACGTTTCGCGAGGAGAAACGTCTGCGACTCAGCGAAAGAAATTCCATACTGATGACGCAAAATCTGTCCGTAATCCGGTCAGAAGCGCTAATTGGTCGACGGAGTAGCTTCATTGTTTTAGCTATTGTTTACGAATGACAGACAAAAGACAAAAGGCGGCAAAGGTCAAATGTTAACGCGATGAATCTCTAACAAAACAGTCAATATTTGTGGAATATAGTCTTCTCTACAAGAAGCATTTGAGTTTTGCTGGATCTCATTCGCAGATAAACACAACACTTTTCCAAAATTGACCAAGATAAACGTAAAATTGAGCAAATTTGCATTTGGAAGCCCATGACTACCGGATTTATTGAGTAAACATTGATTTACGTAATGAGTATGGAATTTCTGTCGCTGAGTCGCAGACGTTCCTCCTCGCGAAACGTCCGTCAGCGACGATGAGCGAGGAGAAACGTCTGCCGTTCGCAGGCTATGCACACCAAAACGTTATGCAGAGAAGCAAAATGATCTGAAGGGTTGCAATGCCAAAAAAAATCGAAAACGGACAAAAAATCTTTACGATATAGAGATTGTGCGGGTGGACAAGGAAAGGAAACGATTTAAAATTCCTTTTGTTGGGTTTGGAAATCAATTCGACGAGTGGCGTGATTTCAGTACCAGCGGTGGACAGTTTCCGTTTGTTTGGAGAAAAGTTTTGTCTCCGACGAAGAATCATTGGAGGACAGAAGGCATATTTTTCATGGGCCTTTATACCGAGCTATTAAAAGAAAGATGTGGTCAAGCCGGCGAGAAGACCCTGAGGTCAGGATAGAATTACCCATAGAACCTGATGTGTTTTCCTGTGATCTCAGTCGGGCAACCAAAAGCAACTTTCAGATAGCGGAAACAGAAAAAAAACTAGTTAATTTATTAACGAACGTCAAAACAAAAATGAGGGGAAAAAAGGACAATCAGAAAGTAAAATGGTTAACGCGATCGGTCGAGTTGATCGGTCGAGTCTACTTAATTGTTTATTTGGAGCGTAAACGAGGGATAATCGCCTTGCCCTGATGTATTTTCCCCGCCTTTGAACCCGTCGGACTCGTCTTATGTAGCCGTCACGAAAGCAGCAAAGCTTGGCAGTATAGCCAGCACCAAAGCGCTGAGTTCAATGCCCATTTTACGGTGACAAAGTTCAACAAACCGGCATAAGTTATATATCAAAACGCGCCAAATTTATTGTAGGTTTTGAATCTGGCGGTAACAGGCAAGTTGGAGCATGCGTAGTCTCATTCTTGGCCCAGGCTTTCGTTCTATTCGAGATTTCTTGTAACAGACTTGTAAAATATTATGCAATAGGTAACATGAAATCGCTTGTTTACGTGTGAAAATCTCTCACTATTATTTTATAATTTAGCAATTATTTTCTTATTAGTTTTAATTACGTGACAAGGGATCAGTGTCGAGAATTAGATTAAACAATTATCATAATTTTTTATTGTAAAAGACTGAAGCAAATTAAGTGGGCATGGTTCTTGAACAGAAGTACCAACAGTTTACAACAGTTTATTGTTATTTATTGTCATTGCTCTTGTAGGCTTGCTATGGTGACACCAGTGTTCCAGTGTTACATGTTACTCTTCTTGGTGGTGAGTGGGGTTCATCTGCTGGTGGGTTATCAACCATAAACAGAGAGCTTGCTATTCACCTTTCGAATCATTCAGCGGTGAAGATTTCTTTACTAGTCCCAGAGGGAGCTTGCAACACTAAAGAAATAAGAGAAGCAGATGGCTATGGAATCACTATTGTTGAGGCGAAAGAACGTGCAGCATATGATCGTCTTGATTGGTTGAGCATCCCACCCCAGGACCACTACATGGACATCGTTGTTGGCCATGGTGTTAAACTTGGTCGGCAAGTACAATTCATTAGAGATTCTGCTCAATTTCCAAATTGTAAGTGGGTACAAGTGGTTCATACTGCTCCAGAGGACCTGAGCAGATACAAATGCTACAATGACCCCATTTCAAAAGGTGAAACAAAACACGAATCAGAAGTTGGGCTTTGCAAACTTGCTGATCTTATTGTGCCGGTGGGACCCAGACTAAAAGAAGCATACTCCTCATATTTACAGCGATGCAAGACAAATCAAGACCTTTTTTCCATTACTCCGGGCCTTTTTCAAAGGGAGTTTGGGGATTTAGTGGCAAAACAAGACCCTAATGAGAATGGTGAATTTAAAGTGTTGTTATTTGGTCGTGGGGATGATGAGGACTTTGAACTCAAAGGATACAACACTGCTGCTCACGCATTTACTGATCAACGGTTGAATCACAAACCTTATCATCTAATCTTTGTTGGAGCGCCTGAAGGAAAGCAAGGAGAAGTTAGAGAAAAACTTCTTCAGCGCGGTATTGTGGAAGCGCAGTTGACTGTTAGAAAATTTATACAAAGTAGAGAGAGACTGAAAGATTTGCTTTGTGAAGCTGACATTGCCATAATGCCGTCAAAATCAGAGGGATTTGGTCTTGTCGCACTTGAGGCCTTGTCTGCGGGACTACCCATTCTTGTAGGCAGTAGGTCAGGATTTGCCAAAGCGTTAGAGAATGTTCTTCATGGTAATGCATGCATCGTGAATTCAGATGATCCTGCAGAATGGGCAAAAGCAATAGAAGCTGTTCGTTTAAGGCATGGAATGAGGCTTCAAGAGATTAAATCACTGAGAGCATCTTATGGGGAGATGTACAGTTGGAATAAGCAATGTGAAGCACTTGTGAACAGAATGCAGAGATTGGGACATGGTAAGTTATTTGTTAAGCGCTGGTGTACTTTCTTATTCATGTTGTACCAGACATCACACTAATATAGTTAATTCGTAGCACAATATATGCAAATGCAACAGTGCAGTGATATACATGTGCACAGCCTTTAAAGTTGTATTGGAAGTTGTCAATGCATGAAAAGATCTGTGATGTGCAGAATTAAAAGGTCTCCACCATGTTTAAGGGTCACAGTTGTCTATGACCGTCAGGATTTATTTTTAGTGTTACTTGGGACGAGTGGTTATGGGTATTGGAGATGTGAATGTGTTAGAAAAACATAATTTTTATACATTATTTTGTAAGAAGCTTATAATAAAGGCTTGTTCTCGCACCAGATGCTTCTGATATACCAAAGGATGTTTCTGTCACTGAAAAGCAGTCTGTTGCAAAAACACATGCTTCAGCTTCTGGTTTCTCAGGAGAGCAATGTCCAGTTGATGAACAGCCTAAAACTGAGGATTTAGTCAGATTAAGTGAAGAATCTCCCTCAACTTGCCATACTCCTAGCGTTTCAGAGCTCACTTCTGACCAAGGTATGGAATTAAATTGACAAGGTGCCACTCTTTTTTACTGTGTCTTGATAAACTCTTGATAATTTTTGGCTTTTTTTAAGGGACGCCATCACGGTTATGCGCATGCGCGCCCTTTGTCTCTTCAGAATAAATTTGTCGCGTCAACACTAAATTCGAAATCGCCATTACCGGTACAATCATTGAGAATCCTTCGTTTTATTCCGACATCCGTCGCTTTGACTGGCCTAGTTATACTTCGGCAGTGGTGATTAACGTGTGACTGTGTTGTTTGACTGGTTACGTTTTAAGAAGACGCAAAAAATGATGTTTTGATCATGGAGGTTCAGAAGAGCATCGTGGCCGTCTGGCAATAAGACGTTCTCGAGAGTCTTTGGAGATAGAGAAGCTTAGCCGATCGATCTGGTATGGTTCTAGGAGTAGTGTGTGGCTTACGAAAAGAATACACGACACTTGGAAAGTGGTTAAAGGCATGAGTCCGTTCAATTTTGATTTGATTTCTGACTCCGACCTGTAGTTATACCGCAACAGGCCGCGCGATCTTCACCGATCTGGTATACTTGAAATGTTCCTTGTATCTTTGCTTTACGATCGTATATGTTTAAGAATTGATGTTTTTAAAATAAATTATTGCCCGAATATTCTGTTTATAATCTAGTTTCTTTATGTGTTCTACTCGATAACATTTATTTGCGGAACCCAGACCCGATGATGTAACGCGAATGAATTTGTTCATTTGCTGATAAGCAATTGAAATTTATCCTCATTTAAGGATAATCTTTATATTCATACGTTGTGTGTGTTTGTCACCGGTCAGGCGCTTTTTGTTGGTATTTCTGGGTTTATATAACGCGAACTGAGAGAACAGTAACAAAATGTTTGTTTACAAATTTTGTTTGCCGATCGGTGTCTGCTTTGTTAGCGTGGGTACGACCTCGTAAACATACACGTTGGTAAATGTTTGTTTCAAAGCAGGAGAGGGCTGTAAATTTTATTCTTATCGGCTGCAACATATATCTGAGGAGTAGCAAAGAATAAACTTGAATTATGGGGATATATAAAATCAAGCCAAATGCCCGGGAATACTCTTGCGTCGCGAACAATGAATTTGAATTTTGTAAATTTACTTGCGTGCATCTAACTCGCTTCGGATTGGTTTAAAAACAATCGGCTACTGTCAGAACTCACTCTTGCGCATTATCGTGAACCAGTCCCTTTAAAGAGTAACTGTTTTTTTTTTCTCTTTCTGCTATTCACCATTTTCACAAAGACGATAACACACCTTGTGTACTTTCCGACATTTTGCATAACCTTTGTCTTTGATTTCTCTTGGGACAGGTGTAATTCCCAGGAGAAATTGGAAACAATCGGTTATGCAAAATTTGGGGGGTAAACAAGATGCATTATGGTTTGTGTGAAAATGGTGAAAAGCTAAAGAATGCACTGTTTGTGTAAAAGCTTTCCCACACAACAACGAGTTGAGAAGCTTGCCTCTCAGTTTCCTTATACATTCGTAAATTGTAATAAGAGGCAGTAATTAACTTGTAGTTAATATGCTTTTAATCAATAATTTTCAGAAACAGCAAACACTGTTAAGATGTTAATCACCACACGTGATTTAAGTAGTGAACTGGAGGACGTCGTGGATAGAATGTTAAGGCAACAACTTAAAGCGTACTTGGAATACAATAAAAAAAACAAGCTTTCTACAGCCAGCGGACTGAGTGACTTCATTAAGCATGTAGAAAATACTTACAACTTTACTTTAACATCTGTGGGTGTTGGATCTTTGGTAATAAAAGGTCAGTGTCCTGACCTGCAAAGTCTGGAAAGTCTGTGGCATGATTATTGTTCTGGTGTCCTGAATGAAGCTGCAGAGAGGTTTTTGGTAACTGATGATATGAAGAAAAAAGTCAACTTGGTGACACTCGGATTAAAGACTATTATTGAGGAAGAAAGCTATTTGACTTGCAAGAAAGCTCTTATGGAAAAGTCAGGTGAGTTGGTTTAGCACAATTTCTTGGGCAATTATCTTTAGAGGTCTTAAGACAAGAAATTGATTTAATTCTCTGCTAGTGCTTTACAGCAATGTACTCGTAAGTATACATGTACATGTAAAAATTAATCGGTCATCTTAGAGACTTCAATCGAGATAATGGAACAATAGACGTTTTTACCGATACGGCGGCCATATTGAATTAATTCTATTTAAGGAGTATTCTGCGATGACCAGGGGGCATGAGCACGATCCGTTGTATTCGCTAAGCATTAGAAACATGGCCTTTCGACACTGTACTGTTTGTATATTTCTCGGGAAAAAGGTGATCATCATTACATCCAAACGCGGCACAACGATCTTTTTCCCATTAGAATCTTATCTTAAGAAAACTTTAAGAAAAAATGCCCCGAAAGGCGCTCGTAAATACTAAACGGATTATGTGCTTATGCCCCTGGGCATGCCATAATACTCCTTAAATCTAACTTATTCAACGTTGTGTACAAGATTTTAATAACACTTCAAAGCATAACTTAAGATTATGCACTAATAAATAAATGCGGGATAAAAGTGAATTTGCCAAACTGCTCGGCCAATAACATTGTGTGTAAAGGTTGGTTGCTTCTTGACAGCAGCTATCCTGGGTCAAAAGAGCCAGTGTTTTGAAATGATCATTCGCCCCATGTAAGGGAATCCAGGTTGCCTGGCTGTGAGTATTTTCTGTAACAGCGCATTCACGAAAGGTGAATTCAATGAATATTTTTTGTTATTTTACTCTGTGTTAGCAATCAGCCGTAGCGTGTCACCTTCAACTGAATCAGATAAGGAAGCAGCTTCACCTCTAACTGACACAAGCCCAGAATATTCTGAGGTAGGTGCTTTGTACTTGAGACTAAAATTGATAACAGGTAAAGACTTGAAAGGAAAAGAAATCGAGCTGTTGCATGGGGTGCAATCTGCAGAAATAATAGCTCGGAAAAAAACTATGACAGTTTTCAAACCCAGTTTTATTAGTCAACGTCGAAGAGAAAGACTGGTTGGGTTACATTTAATAAGTTGGAATTGTATGAAAATACTATAATGGAAAGATTGAGCTATTTTGAAAAAATAGCTCATATGTCAGTGGTTTGAGCGTATGTATCTTCGTGGGTTTGTGGTTGACGACAGGGTTAATGAAAGGGCCATGCTTCAAATTAGGGTTTCGGATATAGGTCTGGCTTTGTGTGCTCGGATGTCTGTTGCAGGGACTAGTAAAGTTGAAGGTACTATTAGTGGATGCTTAGGAACCAATGAGATTTTGGCATCTAAACATGATTTTGCTTACGCTCAAACAACGGCACTTTGAGACCGCCATCTTGATTCTTCACAATTTTTTCATCTTTTATTACGGTTACTAAGGGTGTCTTGAAGCATAACACTGAAATATCTTCATGATTCAAACGCTGAATATCTTAGTGTGGGTGCGGCTTAACTTAAGTAGAAACAATAGCGTTAGGAAATAAAATTGGAAGAAGCTAATTGACAGATATTATTGCTTAATTGACTGGAATTACATGATATGAATGCTGTCAATCAGTATTTCGGTAGTTTGATGATTATCTTAGAAGGAAATGTGTAGTTCCAGAAAATATTCATAGCCTCCCCCCTGCCACGGAGACCAAGGGGAGGGGGGGAGGGGGGTCCAAAAGAAGGCAATTTTCGAGGGGGTGGGGGGTTGCTTACAGAGGTTTTTTTTTCGGGGGATCCGGATAAGATTGGTGAGGTACTAATAAATTAGTAACGGAACTGCCACATAAGCTGTTAACCAAACCGCAGTTTCATAATTAACATTAACGACATGGAAAGTCACTCAGTCAACGAAGAGTTCTGGAAATTGTAAATATTTTAATTTCTTTCAAAGTGCAACCTCCACATCCACCGGTATCCGGAAAAGTAATAAATTATATACCCAGCTTTTTTTGTGGGCCATTCATTTTAGAAAGAGGACATTTAAGACACTGGTAAAATTGTTGGAATACAACGTTTTAAGTTGTTGTCTAAATATTACAACAGTTTGATTCGCATAAAATAGGTCTTTAAAGGAGGGAATGTCGATTCAGAGAACTTAGCTCCGAAATTTCCCAACGAGGCGGGTCCATGTTCCTCACTCCACTATCCCCCCTTCTCCCCAGGCAGTTGAGGCTCTGCTGCATATTTTTTACTAGCCTCCCCCGCAGACGTTCTTAGGGGTTCGTCACGCGTTCCTGTTTCACGAATGTTAGTGGGACGGGAACGCGTGACGAACCCCTAAGAACGTCTGCGTGGGAGGTTAATTTTTGCCTAACCGGCCAGGATTGGTCCCTTACCTGCTGAGCTAAAATTTAGGTAGAACACTGCAGTCCCAGGGATCAAACCCGTCACTTTCCGCTCTTCCGCCCAGCGGTCGATCAAAGGGGCTAACCCTACCGAGATTTAAATTACATTTCTTGTTTAATCTGCCTGTGTTTCGAAAGTAAATCCCCCGGGGGGCACTCAAATAAGTTCGGGTAGAGGTGTGCCGCCAAGCCCTTGAAACCCTGACCCTTGATTGCTCATTTTGCTACGCTGTTTAAGACGAGACGTTATATTATGACCCTGATTCGTTACGTTTTGCATACAGAATTAAGTGATTTTTCAAACTGAAATCATGGAATTAGATTTTTTGGGAAAACCCGTTGCTTCCACAAATCGAGACCGCTCATTTCAAGACTTTAAATAGGGAAACTGTATAACTATGTTTAAGACTCAAGAACCTGAAAACCATGCCCTGTTCAGAAGCACATACCTGCCCTTGGCCAAATAAAGGAGCACCCCCCTTCGGAAGTAAAACTAGATTGAACAACCAGGACCAGGAAGTAGATATTGTAAGGGAATTGATCTGCGGGAATTTATGTATTAAAACGAGCCGTATCCTCTCTACCGAGTCTAACAGACAGCACATTGTTAGCTCCATCGTTACTTTGATTGGGATTTCAATATTTCTCTGTTGCTCACAGAAGGTAATCATCTTCGTTTTGTTCTTAGGCGATAGGTAGAAGGGCTTTGATGAACGCTTTACGTGACGGTAACACTCACAAATCTTTCAAACGTGCCACTCCGCCAGAGCCGCCAAACAAGCCAGTCCCTACCCCGCTAGAATCCCCAAACAGGCCCCTACTGTTCCTCCCTGAAAGACCAAGAAGGCCTGGTCGACCTCCACCTTCTCCTCGGTCCCAGCACGAGCCGAGAGTGTCTCCAACGCCTATGATGGGCAGTGAATCTCGATCACCGTTGCCTCGAAGGCGGATTGCTACCGCTCCACGAGGTAGCCCTAGCACAGAGAAACGCTCGTCTGATAACCCCCCTGATAAGCCGCTACCCCCTGCTTCTAAAAAGAGGCCGGTTCCACGTCGTAATATATCCGAACCAGAGCAGTTTCGGAAGGGCCGTGACGCCACCGTGACCGTTCAGTTGGTTCTTACACGCTCCATTAAAGTTGATGTAGCGGCTTCTACCCAAGACCTGGTTCGTGCCGCGGCCAGTACTTTTAAGCTTTCTGAGGATTCGTTTGCATTGTGGTAAGGTGATTTCTATTTTTGATTAAACTTTTTTCCCCCCTTGCCATTAAGAGGAACTGAAGTGTACAATTTTAGCAGTTAGTCGTTCTACCTTGACATTATCATGCTGTGACTGAAACTCTTATCTAGCCTAAGAAAACCGCAAAAGGTCTAGCAAACATACTGATGACGTGTCACTGCCCAGCTGCCGATTGGTCGTGCCGCGTGGGAAATTTTCTGAAACAATCAGGAGCACTTCCCAGATCTGGGTAGTGACACGTCATCAGACGGTATGGAATTTCTCCGCTCGTTCCTCAGACGTCATTTCGCGGGAAACCAGTTGTAGCGTCGCAAAATGATGGCTGTTTTCACAAGCTAACTCTTATCGGGTTTTAAGCCGTAAGGTGGCGGAGCTATTAAGGGTGTGAATTGAGTCAGCAAGAAATTTTATTTTTCCTATTCATTATTTTAGGTTTATGAGAAATGGCCAGCTTTCTGCCCTTCAAGATAAAGATCTAAAGGGAATTCTCAACTCCCCAGCAAACAACATGGAAACTATTTACTGCTATGAAAATAAACCTCAGTAAAGATCGTTTGATAACTAATTTTCTTACAGAAAACTACTGAGTAATTTTTTTTACTTGGTAATGTAACGCTTCGAACCGCGTTTTTTTGTTTTTTGTGAATCGTTCTCGGTAATGACCTGGTTAGAGTGGGATCTGTTGAATGCCGAAACTAACAGACCATTTCCATGTTTCCCAAGCCTCTTCTAGAGAACTCTAAGTGCGAAGTATTCACAAAAAAAAATTAACTGAGTTGTCATGCAAATGAAACTCGTTATTAAATGAAAGATTTTTCACTTGGCCTCACTTTGAAAGCGAGAATTTTGGAAACTCGGAAATGGCCTACTTTATTAGCCAATCAGCATTAAAACAAAAACCAATTGTGACTTGCTGACTCGGATTTTCCTGCCCTTGGTGCTGGCTTGGAAATCTGTTTTGTTCTTTCAATTGTCTTTGCGCATCCTGATTGGTCGAGGTAATTCCTTTCATTGGGCGATAGTCAAGTGAATATTGCTGTCAGTAATACAGAGCTACAACCCCGGACAAAACTGTTGAGACAATTCCATCTATTTTCTAACTTTTGCGCCCTACTCCCGTCTCCCCTAAACACAAAAAGTAAACCCCCTCCCCACCCCCTATTCAAAGTTGTCTTGGTCTAAAAACCAACGTGTATAATTGCCATGCTATCCTAAACAACTTTGGATAAGGGGAGGGGGAAATCGGGCATTCATTTGGCGGAGGTCTCAGTTTTTGCCGGGATGGCAGGAAAAATCAGGCATTTTCGCGATTTGTCTCAACAGGTTTTGTCCGGGGTTGTAGGCTTCGTTGAGTAAATTACTTTTTATCTTTATCTTTCGCTTTAGAAAAAAAATCAGTTGGTGTTGTTTAGATTTCATAAGAGTCATGGTAAAGGAAATAAGACAGAGAAATCACTGAGGACGTACATTCTAATTATCTTGAAAGCGGAAATGCCTTTTAGTTCGCGTTGTTTCGAATTTAGCCAATTTTGCGTATCAAAGAAACATTCCATGAAGTTTGGAATAGCATATTGTTTTGAATGTTACCCTTGATCTTTTTGTAAGGTTCCTGTTAGAGACGTGTCGAATCTTTGTGAGAATCTTTAATAATCAAGTAAACTAAGTTCTTCCTTCAGTCTTAGCAAATTTGGAGATTTCATAAACTGGGAGAATAAAAGGCATTAGAATATATTAGTTTTCTACGATTTTAGTCCAAATAGTCATAGAAAATCGTAAATAACGGGAAGTTCTTCTCATTACTTTTCATGCAGTTCGATGTTATTGTTTTGAATATTTAATGAACAACGTAAGAGTTCAAAATAGCTCAGGCGTCGATCGCTTCTTCAAAACATTCTCGACTTCAGAGTTATTCTCTATTGCGTATTACTGAGGACTGAAGGACAGAGGCATGACTAAGGCTACGCGTGTACAGTTCTTCTCAGAACCTTCGCGGCCTTTCATGGCCTAAAAAACCGAAAGCTCTGAAGTCGAGAATGCTCGTAGAAGAACTTGATTTTGTCGGGTTATTTATTTGATGATACATATTGAATCATGCCGTTGTGTACAGCTTATGAGTGTCTAAGGTCATTGCCCATTTGCGTCCACACTGAGATTTGTAGAAGTGTAAGGCCTGTTTTGAAGATCTCTTATTTTTGTAAGCGAATTAATTAATACAAGTATTTTACAGTAAAACGGTATAAAGTGAGATATCTCAAACGGTTTTATACCTACAAGAAAATAAATAAGATTTTCATAAAGTTGCAGTAGTCTTTATTAATGATGCCAAAAATCATAGCCGAAAAGCGCGATTCAAAAACGTTACCAACGCGCGTATAAATAGGTTCGGCCACCTTAAGGACCTGTTTACAGGAAGGTGGGGCTCCCGAGGTAGGTGAGGTAACTCGCTTAGGTGGGGTAACCCGCCTGTGCATATAATCTCTCATTTTAATTTGAACACGTTTACATGATAGGTGAGGTGACCCCCCACATGTTACCTCACCTATCTGGGGTCCCCCACTTCCAAGTAAACAGGCCCTTCGAGTCTTCCCTCTAACTGAAGCAACGTTTGGTGAGTTGATATTCAAAGTGCTGGAACAATTTATTTATTTTGCAACAGATGTCTGAAAGAGAGACAAAAAGAACATTAATGAACAGCAATACCCAATTTCGTGCAAAAAATACACTAAGAAACAATGTTATGGGCAGTCAAAAGTGTGTCGTTTGCCTTGAAAATTCAGAGTAGAAGTGATTTCACAGAACTTCATAGTAGATCTGGGCCCAGTTGCTCGAAGCATGGTTAGCGTTAACCAGCGTTTAATACCTTGACAACGTATTCGTTTTGATACTGCTTAACCACTGGTTAAAGCTAACCATGCTTTGAGCAACTCAGCCCTGGTTGTAAATGTATATTTTTCCTTTTTTAATCATCCTAGGACAAGACGCAAGTCCTGACTCACATGGAGAGAGCTGAGAAAGCGAAAGTAAGTTCACTGCGATAAAAAGAATACTGGGTGTGTACGCTTTGTGTATTTAAACAAAGCAAAGTATGTGCAAATGTGAAAAGCATCATTTAGTGGGAGTATTAATTTATTTTTTTTCTCTCTGATAAAAGGATATTAATTTTTTGATACAGGTATCGAGAGGCTCTCTACACAAGGCTGCTGTAGGTGGACAATACGAGATGGTTAAAATGCTTCTTGAAAGTGGTGAAGATGTGGACCAAAGAGATCAGGTTTAAGTCTTCCCCAGTCTATGTAAATCTAATGCTTACGGATTCTTACATTCTTTTCTTGCTTTAGTAGATTATGAGCAGAAGCCTTGCGTTCATGAAGCAACACACTATTCTAATCGGCCGGTAGTGACAAGCGTGATTGAGAGATAGCACATTATTGTTCCTGAAAATATCTATGAGTCGTAACTTTTCATCAGTAGAATGCCTAAGCTATGTTCACGAAGCTACGTAGGTTTTCGTGGTGCCATGGAAACCTATTTCGTATAGTGTGAACAGCAACGGCCTTAGGCCGCGCCAATTCTTTACACAGTCGAACATCGTGCTTGCGTGGTTGGCCCAGAGGGTTTTGTGCGGTGTTCTTATCAGACCACGGCATTGCGGCATTGCTGCACTTTTTCGGGAAAAGCCGCACTATAATTATCACAAGGGGTCCCAAGGGCACAAAGAATTGTTTTTGGTGCCTTTACATTAACTCAGACCTGTCAAACGTTGAGTTAACTGTATATAAAATTGGATATTTATTACTTCGGCGGAGCGCGAAGTAAAGGATTCGTGACGCTCAGGAATGTATCAAAGTTGCAATTTTTTGACAAGATTGGGCAAGCAAAGTCTGTAGGTTTTCGGTTCTATTCGGCTGTTTGACGAAGTGAGAGCCGAATTAGTTCGAGATATCTCGAGATCACTTCGATTTCTTTGATTTATTCTTTAACTTTTTCGAGGAAGAAAGAATTATTATTTTGGCTTTCCCGGGGTTTGAACCGACTCACCTGTGTGACCCGTCAGATCAGAGGAGATTCTAAGTTGAGGGATTAGCCGATTGCGCTACTGCGACCCAAGGTAGTTTGGGATATGAAAAATAGTTATGAAATGATGCACTAGTTTCGGGACAAGATTGGGCGTGCAAGTTCGTGACTTTTCGGCTTGTTTCAACTATTTCACGAAATGAGACCGGACTACTTCGTGATATCTTGAGATCACTTCGAGTTTAGTCTTTATTTACTCGAGGAATAAATAGAGGATATTTCGTGGCCGCGCAGAGACACGAAATTTCTCTTCGAGTGTTGGAAAACATTTCACGATTGAGCCCTCCTTTCGAACTGTTTTATGATGAATTTAAAGTTACAAAATGCTGCACAAAGACATTTGTCTTTGTTGAGTGTTACGTAGTAAAATTGCTTTCATGCGTTGCCTGACTTTCTCGAACGTTCTCTACGTTTTTGGATTACCATGAATAATTAATTAGGGCATGTTTACATTTCAGCATGAGTCAGCAGATTTGCATCAGTTACTGAAATCATAAAATATGTCGAAAAGCTACTACTATTCGCCTGTTTAGTATTTTCTAGAACCTTATGTCAAACGGTATACAAGTTCCAAGCGAGTTCTTTTGACGAACTAAGTTTTTTCCCACGAGCTGGACTGCTGTGTTTAGTCAAGTGTGACGAAGGTCGATTTTCAGGTTCTGTGTTTACAAGTTCGCGGAAGCCGTAAGATATCTGAAGTTCAAGTGAGAGTTTGTTATTATTGGTAGAGGCTGTTTAGTTTTACTCAAAGTTCAAGTCAAGTTTGTGTTGGCGGATGCTGTGTTTTAAAGCTCTGTAAAGGCTATGTTCCTTTGGTGTTAAACTTCCTTGTGTTAATCCGACATCCCTGCGTGCTGATAGTCAGTGAATAATTATCTTCAAAACATTCGAACTCGTGACCTTGAGTTTTAGCCAATTCCGTGCTCAACGTAATTTGACTCCTTACACATGCCTTACATATCTTTAATCAGTACATGAGACTGCTATGCTGTTTTTGAAGCCTGATGTGACTAAGAAAAATAGAGAATTGTTTTTTTATAAGGATTTGTATGGAGTCGTCAGAGCATAACTGGGCTAATATCTCGGAAACAATTTGTCCCGAAATACTAGTTTTTGGCAAGTAGGCCTCTTGGATGTTGCTCTTTTCAGAATATCCTGACAAATCCCATAATTTCACAAATTAACACCTTACTCTTACCATAGTTGATATCTTACTATTCCTCCGCATTTACAATTAATTAGTTCGACAACCACGACGCCGAAGTGTACGCTCCGTAGCGTCTTGTTATCTAAGAAAGTACTAGGTATTTACTCCAACTCAGAACTGTAAGTTAAACGTAATAGGCCATTCGCACGATGACGTCATTTTACTACTACGACCAGAATCCTTCAGGATTTTGCTTTGTTGCGCAAATTAGGGCTTTTGTTTTCGAAACCTTACTGGGAATACCAAATTAGAATATGAAAGGGAAAACGAAAAGGATTCTGGTCGTAGTAGTAAAGTGAAGCCATCATGCAAATAGCCTATTATAAGTTAACTGCATCGGAAAATTGAGAACCGCTTTTCTCACTCATGACCCACTTTTAGCTTCTCTGCGGGTCCTGTGGACCCCAGTGTGGAAAATCCTGGTAAGAACAATGTTGTTGCATTAAATTCCTTTTCTCACTCCTGAAAATTTACTTCCGTCTCAGTGGGTTCCAGTACTCGCTGATACTTATTATTTTTGCGCCGGTTTCAATAGCTCACTTCGGAAAAGAGTGATAGCCTGGGACTCATAATAAGTGCGCGCGCATTTATGGGATTGTTTGCCGGGGAGGGGGGGGACAAGTCGAGCAGCCACCTTGACCTATGACGAGACATGCAAGTTGTTGTAGGCCTTTGTGCACAAATGACTTCAGGAACTCCCCAGTTCTGGTATTTTATGGAATACCAAAGGCAAGACGTATCCAGCGAGAATAAAAAAAATTGAAGTTGAACTGCGAGAGCACACGGATTTGCATTCTTGTGGTTTTTCTCGAAGTAAAATCGCTCCAGGCACATCTTCCTTGAGTTTCACATTTTCATCTTTTTTTTTTCCTTTTAATTCCACCTTCCTTTTTGCTATTTTGAACTGTTTTAACTCCGCTGAAACATTCCACTTCGCTTTCCGTCATGTTTTTTTACATTCACGTCCCCCCAGATAATCCCATAAATTGCGCGCCCCTAGTTTGGGTCCCAGGCTATCACCCTTTTCCGAAGTGAGCTATAGGTGTTCCCATTGCACCAAAATATATCACAAAACCTATCCGGTATGTGACGCTCCACTTTTGAGGTAGGCGTGGTGCAGTTTCGCGCCGCCATAATCGTTCTCGTGAGTGAACAGAAGCCCTATCCCGTGTGGTTTTCTTGGCGGCGCAAAAGCTATCCGGGATAGTGTGAACAAAGCCATAGACAGATAACAATGAGGACAGGAGAAATCACAAAATTCCGTTTTCGCATCATTTTCCAGAATTTTGAACGGCTTTACCATTAAAAATCCAGTACTTGCTGATAGTTTCAGCATAGACTCTGATTAGCTTTCAATATTTGTGTCTCTTGAAAAGGCACAAAAACGTTTCTCTGGTAGGGCAGTTATTCTTGCGCTCAAATATGCCATAGTAAATCCTAGTAAACCGTTTGCCACTGCAGTCAAGTTTTAAAGTCCAGTTATTTTATTTGTCTGTTTTGTGTTTGCTTGTTTGTTTTTACCGCAGGAGCCTGAAAAATGTTCAGTGTTATCTGCATTTTCTTAATAAAGAATCAGTGGTTTGAATGAAAACATATAGCTTTGTTCATAGTTATTAGAGGAGACTGGTTATGAAAAGCGGCAAACATCAATGATAAAAACAACAGTGCTGCAGTTTATGTTCAAAGCACCGTGAAAGTGCACAATCCTTTGTTTTCTGTTGGCAAATTGTTACGGAATAAATTAATGCAACGTTTTTATTGGTCAATACAATCAAAATGATAGGAATTCTTTTGAACGTTGTGCACTTTCAGGTCCACAAAAACATATAACAAAGGCGTCTGACGGGTTTCATAACCATTCCACTCAATTAACTATGCTTTGTTCTACCACTTTGTAATAGAAAGAGTCGTATGGGGCCCAAATTATCGTTTTTTTGCGGTGCAATCTTATCAACGTGTGGTGGAATACATTAAATCGATGACGTCATAGCCTTTTGTCCATAACTCATGAAAAATAGCGGCGGATTCTCATTATCTTCTCCTTTTTTGTGTTTCTAATACAATAGAAACAATAGGCTGGTGGTGGATGAGGAGGGAGAACAATAGAATTGTGGTGGTCGTGGTGGTGGTGGATAATCACGCGTGTGCACTGAGCTCTGCAGGCGTGTTTTGTGTGCTCCAATCAAGCTTTGCGTAATGAAATTGAAGAATTAAAGAACAAACTACAGAGGCTTTCTGATAGTTTTTTTTTTGAGAGGTTTTTGTTTTTATTAGATATTTGTGTTATTCATGTACTTGTCTTGCCTTGTTTTCGTCTGTCCACACGTACACGCGAAAACAGCGTTTTCAAAAAGTTCCGTTTTCATTGATCGTTTTCATCGGATACGTGTGGACGGAAGCCGTATCCGTAAAGAAAAAGTTGCGTTTTCAGGGACCGCGCAGAGGGTGGGGCTGGGGGGGGGGGCTTTAGCCCCCCCACTTTTTTGGCTGTTGATGTTAGAACATTGAATGGTCAACTGGAAATATTTAAGGTGTTAATGAAGGACGGAGAATTTACCTGTTTTTATGACATTTTAGCCAAGATCAAGCAGCTTTCTGAAGCCGAAAAGTGTATGGTAACTTAAATCATAACCCTATGTAAACTTCTTCTTGTAAATCCAGCAACCAGTGCAGCAGGCGAGAGATCCTTTTCTTCTGCTCGGAGACTGAAAACGTGGCTACGCTCGACGATGACAAAAACAAGATTTAGCAATCTGACAATACTTAATACCCACAAGCACAGAACAGACAAACTTTGTCTTATAGATGTTGCCAATGAGTTTGCAGCTCTCAATGAAAATCGAAAAAACAACTTTGGCACCTTCAAAGAATCCGACTTAAAAATGTCCGGGTGACACTCATCCGTTGCGTCTGTTGGGTTTAGCTTAGAAGTTAGTCTATTCATTTAAATTTGGTCGAACGTGAAGGCCAGTTTGTTACTCGTTGTTTTATAAGAATTGAAAATTAACTTCACTTTTGGCAGTTTTAGATCCATTTCTAGCCATTTCAGAAGACTTCAATTTCAAATTTTCCCGGGGGACCATGTCCCCGGACCCCCTAGTTGGCTCATGCTAACGCGTTCGCATTACCCCCCCCCCACTTGAAAATCCGCTCCGCGGGCCCTGGTTTTCAAATGAAAACGGATACGTGTGGACAGGGCCTAAGTTGTCTGCAATGGACAATGGCATTGGCAGAAAATAAAAGTGCATAATCAATTAACCTTAGAGCTCAGTGAGTTTAGCTCACACGCGAGTTAGCGCTTATTCCTTCGACAATATGAATCAGCCAATAAGCCACTTCCACATTTCCCGTAATTCACCTTAATTGCCCTCCCAAATTATTGTTATTGTTATTGTTTAATAGCGGAGCTCTGTGGAGCACCATGGGTAAGTAAATCTACCCATCCCAGAAAATTTGGTAATCACGTGACCGTACACCGCCCGCCCGTCCGTCCGCACCACAGGACAACCAGCGTTTAATCCTCACACTTTCTAGCCAGTTTGGGAGCACAGGAAGACTGATATTGCACACATATATTGCACATCAACGTTGTGATCAGTTGACAGCTGTCAAAAACGGGATCCGCTGACCAGTATCACCTGACCGTATTGCGGACTCAGGAGTCGACCCATCGAGGTCGAATATCTTTTTGAAGTTATCCGCTGACAAGTTACTAGTTTTCAAATGATCGCAGGCTCAAGTTTTTTTTAAAAATCCATATGAAATATGTTGTGTTTTGTATGTGCCGTACAATTAAAATGTTGATTTGAAACTGACCTCGGAAGCTAAAATTCAGCCAGTTTTTACAGGCAGGGAAGACATGCCAGTTGCTTTTGACGTTTCTCACCAAGGTCACGCGTTGGTCACGCTCTACGTTCAATTTTTATGCTCTGATTGGTCAAAATTTGACAGGTGAGTTCATGCGGAAAATTTATGCAGCATCTTGAAACTTGTTTACTTTGCTTAAGCTGACAGTGTTTTGTGTCAACTTGTGATGTTTTTAACTGTCTTTTTCCACTGAATGTACAAAATGAAATTCAGCTGCTATCAAGAGTCTTCTGTTATTCATGACTAGTTTTTTTATTGGGCCGTTTGTATAGGTAATAGCATGATTAGTAGTGATATTTGGCATAAATACCACGAGTGATATTTCAAAATATTTCAATTTTGAAATATCACAAGTGGTATTTATGCCAAATATCGCGTACAAATCATGCTATTATTTGTTTATACTACTATCCGCAAGAGGTTTGTAATTTTCACATGTAGGTATTTCAAATTAAGCTGAAATACCACTGCTCTAAGCCAATCAAATTGCAGTAATTTCTCATGTAGTAGTATAAGGTTGAGAAATACGTCGCTTGTCAAAGTCGGAAATCCGATTTCGGATGGCATCGTTTTCGTTTTTCACCTTGCTTGATGCGTTAGAGGGTTGAAAAGTCTGAAGCGATTCTGGCCTTACTTGATAGTTTCAGTGCATCTCGAATGGTAAGCCTGAGTAATTATTGTATTTGACGTTTGTTTTTTATATCTAATTTAATGAAGTCGAGCGTAGTTTATGCGTCTATTTAGTTTATGCACGTTATTAATTGTAAGATTTGAGACAATGATCTGACCGAGTATCAGGTTTGATTATAAGCTTATAGAACTTTAAAAAGCCTTTAGACATTTTCTCACTGCAAATAGAAAGAAAACGTTCCAAAGAATATTTAGATATAATTCTGGCTGTAAAAGAAAGTTTCGAGCGATATTCTTGCCTCGAGTTCATCTTTGAAATTTAAGCAAACACCGGGAAGCCGGCTTACAAAATGAAAAACATAAACAAGGATTTCAGAGACACTTTAATACTTGTCTTCGTGAATGAAAATTGTTGTCTCTGTATATGTTTCACAGAATTATTTTCCTTTTATTGATTGTTAGTAGTCTCTTGCAATTTCTATCGTTGTGCCGTTTGTTTTCAGTCGCTCATGAACATCGCTTGTATGCAGGAGTAGTCAAAAAGCCTCGCGTATCAAACGCTTTTGAAGATTACACATCGTTATAAAACCATTAAATAAAAAATAAACAGAATAAATTCTTTATTATGTGGAAGCGTATAACTCTATTAATCATAATTTAAACAGTCGACGTTGGCACTTGTGAACCGGCTAGCTGTACAGGTGATTTTGGAAATTTTTTAAACGGTTTCGCTTAAAGCCCACACGTGCTTCGATCGTTCTGAATATTGAGTGACTGCAATTTGTATTGCAAAATTGTGAAATACTATATAAAATAAAATATTCTGTCCGAGGTCTGTATGATAAAAACAGCGCGTCATGGTACTGTTTCACCTCAGATGTGATGTATAAAGAGTATAAAAGATTGGGTTACACGTACCCAGACTTGTTGGCAAGATTTTGTAAAGTAAACTTGCCGAACGCAAAAAATTCGGCCTGATTTGTTTTCCAAGAATTTGTTTTCCAGGCCTAATCTACTGTGATCAAGAGCCCGCGTTCTTAAATGTTATCGAAGATGATTGCTATTTTTGGGGTGTACATATAAGGCTATCAACTCGATGTAAGATTAAGTTCACTCTAAGCTTGGACTGTTTGCAAATTACTTTTCTCTAAAATCACTTAACCTTTCCCTCAAAAGTCACATGAATGTGCTCTAAAGTTAACTGAATTGTGGAAAACAAGTTTATTGTTTGATTTAAATTATAAATTCGAGTTACTATATAGGAGGTTCGCTTTTAGCCCTGGCTAAATCTATATATTATTATTATTGTTAAGCATTGTTTTCAAGCTCTCTTTGGACGGCTGTAATACCCAGGAGAAATGAAAAACAAAGGTTATGCAAATTTTTGGGGGGGGGGGGGAATAAGCTGAATTATGGGAAAAGTGGAAGTGGCGTATGAATACTTTTTTAGTTGTAAGTCGACCAATCAAAACCAAGACATTCATCAACCTGAAAATTACTAGAAAATCTGTCAAACCGGTGAAATAAAACTAGAAGATGACAAACGGTCTACATCGGACTTAATAAGTACATGAAAAGTTCGATGGTTGAACTGGGCCTTAGAAATATACAAACGGTACGATAATGAGAATCCACCACATTTTATTCATGGATGAAGACAAAAGGCCATGACGACATCGACGGCATGTTAATAACATTCCATCGAAAAAAAAAGGATAATTCGGTAATGCGCCCTATGCTACTGGAAAGTGGCCTGCGACGTGGCATTTGGACTAAAGTTTAGTTTTATTCTTTGATTACTCCTTGTAAACTGAAGAAGATAAAGTAGAGATGCTATGGCGTTGGTCTAAACTAGACCTTTAAAAATTAATCCAATAGCAGACTCTAAGTTTATTTCATAACAGGCCATCATTAGTATGGCAGTGGATGGCTTTTTTTCGATCTTATTTAACCGCGTTATTTCTTCCTGTTTTCCATAGTTTTCTTTGACTCCTCTTCATCTTGCCTCTTGGTATGGACACGAATCTGTTGTCAAACTGTTGTTGAAATACGGAGCGAACGTCAACACTCAAGACAAGGTGAGTAATGGAGGTTGGGGCAAGGGAAGTTCTGGTTTTTGTTTTCCACACATGAATCTCTCTAGAATGACCAATTAAGTTGACTTGAAAACCGTGTTGATGTATTCAACTTTTTTACTTTTAAGTGTTGAGTAGTATAAGGTACACCCGTTGGGCCGTTTTTATACGGTGGAATCTCATTAACGAGCGGTGGAATGCTATACAATCGATTACGTCATAGCCTTTGAAGTGGTTTAACCGGTTTGATAAGTTTTCTAGTTATTTTTAGTGATGATGTGAAGCGTTGTTTTAAGTTTTTTTACATCATTTCCTTATTTGGTCGCTTAAAACAAACTGTCCCGTTCTTCCGCTTTATGCAGGTTTCACTGTAGTAAGCGGGTGCGCTGCATCAAGCGGTCGAATGGCAGAGCTGATTTAAAATATTTTGAAAGTCTCGTAAGAAACCGCTTAATGCAGGTTTCTTTGTTGTTTGGATAGTCAACTATTCTCACTGCATACATAATTAACGCAGCACGGAATGGGACTCTGAATCTTTAGATTCCGCCGTGCTTTCATGTCTCCCAGGCGGGCATGATACTTTGCGGTCCTTCTGCTTAAATTCCCGTGCTTTGTATCTGTCGGTGATCAATTGGCCCGCTTTCCCGCGGTCAAGGAAGCTTTTGTCGCCCCACCTTCCTCCCCTGGTGCCGGTTGACGGGGCCACCTTTGTCGCCTGCTGCTTACCTTGTTGCCACAGTTGTCGCGGTCTCCTCCCATAATTTAGTTTACTGTGATGTGGTAATGGGTATGCAGTGAGGATATTAAACTACTATATGTTGTACATGTACTACCTTATGTAGACATACCGGTGGTAAGAATATTCTCTCATTCTTGTTAGCAAATAGCACGTGGCATGTAACACGACTTACTCTGCTTGTGACGTTTTTAGTTTCAACGCACACCTCTGCAAAAAGCTGAACGTCAAAACCACCACGCCGTTGCGCAGTTGCTGCTGAAGAATGGTGCCAGGCCAAGTCTTCATCAACCAGTAAGATATTAGATTGTATGTGCTTCTTGCCAAGCCCTGTCTTTCAGATGAGATTCGCTTACATTTGTTGTATTCTATGCCGATAATGTTGAACATTACAGTACGACCTTTACATTGTCGTATGAGCTTGTATCTAAGCCTACATCGCGTAGACCTTATGCTTGTCCCTTCTCTACACGAACATCATTTTTATTCCCTTGGTTCTGTCACAGTGCAGTAAATCTTATATTAAACGGACACCAAATTAAGCGGATGAGTGGATCAGTTTGTCTCAAAGGTTTCGTACCATATTTACTGTGAAATTACTGTAAAACGAACCATTAAAAGCCGACATTAGCGAAGGTCGAGTATCTGTCCGCTTAATAAAGGTATCATGGTAGATTTTAACTATTGGTTGGCTGGCGTTGCGTCTTATACACATGCGCTCCCTGAATGGTTTTTGGGTACACTGGGGATGGGGGTTTAATATCCTGCAATCGCATGGAAGGAAGAAAACTAAATTATTGTTTGGAAAGTGCATCTCAACTTTAACGATCAAACTTACAAGCAAATCCGTACTTCCACCTGTGTATAAAGGTTACGACAGTAACATTCCTGCCACCCACCCACCCATCCACCTCCAGTTACGCGGGCTAGTCCATTTTGTTGTTGTTGATGTTGTGTAGGATTTTCCAAAGATTAACTATTTATTAGATAGCCTTTGATGAGCTTTTCAATGTAAGTTGAATAACATGGTGAGTGTCTGGTGTTCCCCATTAATAGCCGCCATAAAAACAGAAACAGCAGAAAATTAGCGGATTAAGACCTTTTTCCTCAACGACTTTGGTTTCGAATTCAAGGCCTACCCTAGTTACCTGCAGGAGACAACAAAAAAGTCGACATTGGTTGGGAGGGTGAAGGAGAGATCCACAAAGTCCTGCTTTCAAAACGTTTCCCCTCTCGGCCTCTATCTGACAGCTTCAAAATTGTCACATCAATTTTGTCGTCCGCTGGAGCCATTGTCATACTTTTGGTCAAAAATAATTATCATTGCTGTCAAACTCGGAAAAGCATGAACGTTAGAAACGTTTTGGAAATGCTCATTGTCTTATGTTGAATCCCATTGGGGATAAGGAAAAGTTAGCGTGCAGCAAACCTTAAAATAAACACGGGCCGCTTTTGACTGCTTGCAGCTTGCTTTTCACACACTTCTTTGGCTCAGGTCTTACTTCGACACATAACATTCCACAAATCTTTTTGTTGTTGATAGTTTGCTAATAATAATAATAATAATACTAATAGGAGATTAAAATTTGTGTAATGTGCAGGTTTCTTTCGTTTCACCATAGTTAATTGAGTGGAATGGTTATGAAACCCGTCAGACTCCTTTGTTATATGTTTTTGTGGACCTGAAAGTGCACAACGTTCAAAAGAATTCCTATCATTTTGTTTGTATTGACCAATAAAAACGTTGCATTAATTTATTCCGTAACAATTTGCCAACAGAAAACAAAGGATTGTGCACTTTCAGGGTGCTTCCAACATAAACTGCAGCACTGTTGTTTTTATCATTGATGTTTGCCGCTTTTCATAACCAGTCTCCTCTAATAACTATGGAAAAAACTCACATTTCTGTTTATAAGTAGCCTGCCCTTATGTTACCAATGACGCCATATATTTTAAACATAGCAACCAACCACCATCGCGTGTTGGGTAAAATGTGTCCATTTGCAATAAGAATACAGTGAAATCCTGTTAATCTCTTATCTGCAATAAGAATAGTTAAAAAGTAGTGGCAAATGAACTTCCTTTTAATTATTTTCGCTCAAAACATGGTCATTTTTATCATAGGTCTGTCTAAAGAAACTCTCAAGAAAAGCTTTCTTGCAAGTGGATGAAGAATCCGGATTTAATCTGCTCCAGGCGGCTGTCTTTGAAGGAAAATACAACATTGTTTTAAAAGCAAGTGGCCTTTTTGGCAACTTTGTAGAAGAGATGGAACTTACAAAAACAGGAAAAAACGCTAAAGAATTTATAGGAAAAACGGCAGTTGACTTCTTGTCTCTCAGAAAGAGAAAAAACCCATTTCATAATGATATCGAAAAGATTTATGAAAAGTTGGCTGAGGGCAACAGCAGACTGACTGAGCTGCAGTGGGGTACATGCAATGATGATGATGTCGAACAGGCAGTTGAACTTGCATTAAATGACGGTGTAGATATCAATGCCCCAGGATCAGACAATGATTACACAGCTTTGCTGCAGGCGAGTCGTTCGTCCTCAAGTCAGTTTATTGAGATCCTTATTGATCTTGGGGCCGACGTTAATGCCCAAAGGACAGAATGCAAAGAAACGCCACTAATGTTAGCAGCTGACTGGAACAACTACATGGCAGCAAGCTTAATTTTAAGGCATGGAGCTGACGTAAATGTCCATATTAGTAATGGGTGCACGCCACTGCACGTTTCAGTCGATAAAGGTCACGAAAACCTCGTCAGATTGTTACTTAAACACAACGCAAAGGTTAATATGCAAAATACTTATGGAAAAACACCCCTTCACCAATCATTCTTAAAAGGTAACGAAACCCTCTGTAGATTGTTACTTGAACACAAAGCGGATGTAAATATTCAAGATAATCATGGATACACACCCTTGCGATGGTGTGCGTTAACGGGTAACGAAACCCTCTGTAGATTGATACTTGAACACAAAGCAAATGTAAATATTCAAGATAAAGGTGGAGATACACCACTTCATTGGTGTGCCAGAAAGGGTAACGAAAACCTGTGTAGATTGTTACTTGAACACAAAGCAAATGTAAATATTCAAGATAAAGGTGGAGATACACCACTTCATTGGTGTGCCAGAAAGGGTAACGAAAACCTCTGTAGATTGTTACTTGAACACAAAGCGGATGTAAATATTGAAGATAGAGATGGATATACACCCTTGCACTGGTGTGCTATAAAGGGTAACGAAAACCTCTGTAGATTGTTACTCGAACACAAAGCGGATGTAAATATTGAAGATAGAGATGGATATACACCCTTACACTGGTGTGCCAGAGATGGTAACGAAAGCCTCTGTAGACTGTTACTCGAACACAACGCAGATGTAAATACTGAAGAGGAAGATGGATATACACCCTTGTACTGGTGTGCCAGAGATGGTAACGAAAACCTCTGTAGATTGCTACTTGAACACAAAGCGGATGTAAATATTCAAGGTGAAGATGGATATACACCCTTGCACTGGTGTGCCACAGAGAGTAACGAAAGCCTCTGTAGATTGTTGCTCGAACACAAAGCGGATGTAAATATTCAAGGTAAAGATGGATATACACCCTTGTACTGGTGTGCCAGAGATGGTAACGAAAGCCTCTGTAGATTGCTACTTGAACACGAAGCGGATGTAAATATTCAAGGTAAAGATGGATATACACCCTTGCACTGGTGTGCCAGAGATGGTAACGAAAACCTCTGTAGATTGTTACTTGAACACAAAGCGGATGTAAATATTCAAGGTGAAGATGGATATACACCCTTGCACTGGTGTGCCACAGAGAGTAACGAAAGCCTCTGTAGATTGTTACTCGAACACAAAGCGGATGTAAATATTCAAGGTAAAGATGGATATACACCCTTGTACTGGTGTGCCAGAGATGGTAACGAAAGTCTCTGTAGATTGCTACTTGAACACGAAGCGGATGTAAATATTCAAGGTAAAGATGGATATACACCCTTGCACTGGTGTGCCAGAGATGGTAACGAAAGCCTCTGTAGATTGTTACTCGAACACAAAGCAGATGTAAATATTCAAGGTGAAGATGGATATACACCCTTGCACTGGGGTGCCAGAGATGGTAACGAAAGCCTCTGTAGATTCATACTTGAACACGAAGCGGATGTAAATATTCAAGGTAAAGATGGATATACACCATTTCACTGGTGTGCTAGAAAGGGGAACGAAAACCTCGGTAGATTGTTACTTGAACACAAAGCGGATGTAAATATTGAAGGTGAAGATGGATATACACCCTTGCACTGGTGTGCCAGAAAGGGGAACGAAAACCTCGGTAGATTGTTACTTGAACACAAAGCGGATGTAAATACTCAAGATGAAGATGGATATACACCCTTGCACTGGTGTGCTTTAACGGAAAACGAAACCCTCTGTAGATTGTTACTTAAATACAATGCGGATGTAAATATTGAAGGTGAAGATGGATATACACCCTTGCTCTGGTGTGCCAGAAAGGGTAACGAGAACCTCGGTAGATTGTTACTTGAACACAAAGCGGATGTAAATACTCAAGATGAAGATGGATATACACCATTGCACTGGTGTGCCATAAAGGGCAACGATAACCTCTGTAGATTATTACTTGAACACAAAGCGGATGTAAATACTCAAGATGAAGATGGATATACACCATTGCACTGGTGTGCCTTAAAGGGGAACGAAAACCTCTGTAGATTGTTACTTGAACATAACGCGGATGTGAATACTCAAGATGAATATGGTTATACACCATTGCACTTGAGTGCGTTAAAGGGTAACGAAACCCTCTGTAGATTGTTGCTTGAACACAACGCGGATTTAAATATTCATGATGATTGTGGATATACACCCTTGCACTGGTGTGCCTCATTGGGGAACGAGAACCTCTATAAATTGTTACTTGAACACAACACGGATGTAAATATTTAAGTTAAAGGTGTAACCTTCAGTTTTGAACAGCAATTGCAGTAAAATAATCGATCTCCTGGTGAAAGTATGCGTTGCAAAATATCAACATCTGTGATGCACAACGCACACCTCCTCTTTACCTGGCAGTTAGATGTGGTAATGCACGAGCTGTGAAAAAGCTTTTTTATCTAGGAACTGATGTTAGTGTGGTAAAGGCAGATAAAAACGATGCCGTTAGACTGGAACGTTCAAAGAATGAACCGGAGAGGATGGAGGAATATATTGAGTTTGTTTTTCCAGAAGCTGATGTTAGTGTGGTAAAAGCCGTTAAATACTATGCTATCAGACTGGAACGTTTAAAAAATGAACCGGAGAGGGTGGAGGAACATCTAAACTTTAAAAAGGGCTCTACAGAACATCCAGGGTGTCCAGTTCCTATTTTTTCCTATGTTTTGAGCCTATTCCTATTTTCTCCTATTTTTAAACTAAAACCTCCTATTTTTCCTATTTTTTAGCTGGTGAAGCCCAAATTTGTAACAAAATTGAAAATGGAATTATAGTTGTATGTGTTGTTGAGTGAAATTTTTCATAAAGCGAGTAGCATGTTGACTTTGATGTTCTATTATTAGTAAAAATGAGAATTACGTTTGTTCTTTCCATGACCTCTATAGCCTGTGAACAGACGTGGCCCCTCCCTCAGGAATAATCGGGAGAGGAGATGTCTGTGAATCTCCGACGATAATCGTGTTATCGTTTCCCCGGAATGTTGGGGACAGCCTCTCATTGGTTGTAATGTTAATGCCATTACGCAAATAATTTCCGGTGTTGTGATTGTTGAATGAACCTCAGAATAGATTCCCCGGGGAAAAGTTGAGCCTCTGAGGACATTATCTGATTTTGGGTGGACATTGCGTGAAGGTGTTCGGCTAGCTTGTGCACAGATGCCAGAGCTATTTTTTGACCTACATGTGCCTTTTCAACCGTCAGCGGAAGAACAAAAATATAATTTATGCACGATTAACAACGGCGATTCACAGACGTCTCCTCTCCCGACTTTTCCTGAGGGAGGGGGGACGTCTGTACACAGGCTATGACCTCTATTGCCTATTAGATTTCTGTTAACATTTGTCTTTATATTGTTACTTTTTGTATAATTTTCTAGTGCACCTGCATGTATTGTATGAAGCGTTATAGTCCTCATGACTATTGAATGATAATTTGCATAGCCCACTGAAACCGCATTTCAGTATCCGTACATGTTATATTTTATTTTGAAGTCTTGCTTGCTTTTATGTTCATCTTTGAAACTGAAAACAGGATCAAGTTGTCCTCTCAGAATATCGGCCAGATAGATCATCCGATCAGCTTCTTGTTTAAAAAACCAATCACTAGCTTATTCTGGATGCTACATGAAAAGAACAGACTAAAGTTTAGTTTACGGACTAGCTCTCTTGGTGAGCCTTTGTTAACAGCTATACCTAAGCAACTGGTGAAGGATCCAATATTTTGGTTGCGAAACTGGTCTTGCAGTCCATAGCTAAGCAGGGTTATGTTCTTCTTAGAACTTACAATCTGGTACCGGTGAAATAGATCAGTGTCATTTTGCATACACCGCGCAGAGCCCGGTTCCGTACTTAAAATTATGCGGTCTTTTGACTCAAACAAGCATATTCTCCACCAGCTGCAGATTGCAGATTAATGGAAGGAAAGCTTTCCATAGGACTTTCAAGTCCTAGTTCGATGTCCTTCAATGACAACTCAATCGTAAGAAATTTTGTATCCGCCTAAGAAATTTCACTCTTCGCAGCTTTCAAAGATTTGCTGTTAACTTGAAGGGAATTTCCATATGATAACTTTTGATTATAGAACCACGATCGACCTGTAGTCAATCATATCATTCTGATTACAGCGTAACTGAGGCAGTAAACTAAAAGTTACTGATCATTTTCACTCCTTCTTTAATAGCCGCGAAAGTTGATCTAAATCCTGTGAACATAGAATCTGAGGACTCGTAGCCTTTATTATAACCCTGATGGGGTGCAGGGAGATTATCTTTGTCAACAAAAGCACTTTTGATTTTCATATTTTTCTCCTATTTTTAATGCAAAGTTTCCTATTTTTCCTATTTTCTCAATCCTGAGTTTCCTATTTTCCTATTTTTTTTGAGCAACCATGCCGCTGGACACCCTGAACATCTCAAATCAAAGAAAATACTGAGGAAAACCCCTTCGTATACAACAAAGGAAATAAAGCACGAACCGGAAGCTGAATAAGTGAAGACACTCAGTAAATAAACCCCTTCCGGCGGCTGTATACCAGAGGATAATGCCCGCGACTGAGAGATTTCCAAAAAATAAACGTTTGCCTTAGAAGCGAAGCTTAGAGGGCAAGGACAATCTCGCAGCGAAGGGCATTATCCTCCGATATACTAGTAAGCCTGAAAGGGGTTTATTTATTTTATAATCCTCTGATTAATTTTTTAATCACTATAAAACAAGAGGTGAGCGTGCGTGCGAATGACGCAAACAAGCACATTGATTGGTTAATTTTTTTAGTGAAATTGTGATTGGACCTTCAGGGCGGAAAAACGTTCTGCGCAAGCTTCTGCGCATCCCTTATCGCACGCTCAAGGCGGGCTTTTCTGTGTGTTGACTGTGCTTGTTTGTTTGGAGTTCTGAGTGAAATGCACGAGGTGCGAACGTTTGCTCCCTGTAAAGCATTCTTATTTGACATGTTTGCTTTTTTTTCGTCGCTTGAAAATTACTTTGGATTCAGAACAACCAATGTTAAAGGAAAAACGGATCATTCCGTCAGTCTGAGGTGGAATAAAAGGTTTTGAACATTTCTTAAGAGGCGAGTATTTTTCTGATTGTGCATCCGATTAATTTATGAGTCAGATTTCGCTGGGTTCAATTAAAACACGCTTGTATTCTCTTATTAGTAGTTACGGTTACTTTTTTTACATGCCCAGATTTATTACCTTTGCAGAACCAGCTCTATCTTTGTCTTCACTCAAAGAACCATATCCCTGTTATATAAACGCATCAGAGTGAACAAACTTGTGCGCTTATTAAACTTTCTCGGAAATAGAAGGCCAGCAAGCTTACTCACGATCATGTTTCTGTTGCTCAAGTAACTATAGTCAGAGGTTTTTTCATTTTTCATTACATGGCTTTGTTTTCCAGTGCACTGGTTTCTGTTCTTTATAAGAATAACTTTCTGTACGCAAAATGTCTTTTTCACTCGCTGTGAAGTAGAGAACGACAACTGCCGGCAGTGACTTCAAAACAATTGATTCTTTCCCCGTAAACAATTGCTGCAGTTTGATTTGACTGAGGCGAACAAAACAAACCCTTCAGTGTGCTATTTTCTGTATTTTCTCATGATCGGCTGAGTTTAATTTTCTTAAACGAAGACCCTCGCATGGACCAGTTAAGCTTATCGAAAACAGCTAAATGGTGAATCATGGCTTGGCTGCCAAGTTGCAACTGAACCAACTGATCTTTTGCTTTTAAGATCTTTAAGCAGGTTGTTTTCGCACAGAAAATTCATTTCTTCATTGTCAGCAAGAAGTTTTAGAAATAATGTAACGTTAACTTTGTTTGAAGGAAATCCTATTTACGCACAGGTTTTGACAGATGTTATGCGTGTTCAACTTGACAACACAAAGCAAAATTTATATATCTGCTCGAAACGAGCAAGTTTAAAAACAATAGTTGCTTTGAAACCGATTTTTGGGAAGATTTACTAGATAAAGATTGACCATTTTTCTGCCCACATATCAACGCAATAACTTCTACATTGAGGATTTTGCTTATATTTTAGTGATCTGCGAAACTACGAGTGTCCGATCGAGCGAGGGTTTTAAAATATCAGCTCGAGTGCGACAAAGTTCAGTGACTTCAAACACATTGTGGGCAAGCGTTAATTTTTTGGGGCAAATCACTGTCGAAAGATATGTTGTTTTTGTGTCCACAGTGGAGCTCCGGACCTTATATATCCAGGAACTTCCTTATATGAACACATTTTGTGAATGCATCTTGAAAAACATCGGACCTACGCATGCACATTTCCAATACAACGCAAGGAAATTAATGTCGCTAAAGTCCGTTTTACTATGAGGTTTTCTTCGAGAAAATTAAGTAACGACAAGGTTATAACCACAGCTTGCAACTTTTGAAGACAAATTTCCTGTTCTTTCCAGGCTATGAGTGGAAACATTTTGTTTTTATTTGGAATCCCGCCATTTTTTCAAACCCGGCCAGGGGATCTGGGCAAAAAAGCTCACGCATGCTCATTACGTTTTTCCGCCCTGAAGATTGGACCAGGGCTTGACAGGCTGTCATGTCAAATGAACCCTCGCAACGCCCCATAGATCAAAACTGGAAAAAGCAGCGCTTTTAGTTAATGTTTTACCGCAGCAATGTTTGAAAACTACTCAAAAAAACCGTTTCTAATGGATAAGTAACGAGAATCCAACCATATCACTAACTGCCGCTGCAAGAGTTAGGAAAGTAATTACAACTATGAAACACAGAAACTGAACAATCTGGACCAGTTGGCAAAAACCCGGATTTGTTGGATTTTGTTGCTGTGGATGGTGGAAGCTGAAGCTGAAAGGTAGAAGAAATAATAAGGCCCATCTGTAAGAACAGGTTGACTGACCGGAATTTACTTGAGTTAAGCTTTTAAATCGCCTGATAATCGAATATGACTCGAACTGTTGCTCTGTAGTTTGGTTGCGCACTTTACGATTCGATCAATTTATTGCTTTCATGGCCCGCTACGCTTTTTTCTCTCTTTTCTCCATGATGAAAGTAACAAAAAAGACATATTTTCTTAAACACTTTGAAGTTTTCTTTTCCATATCTGACAGCTATGACTGCATAAAGAACTGTAATCAAGTTACTTTTTCTCATCTTCGTTTCATAGCTTAAGCTTATTTTATTGATTTCTCTGTATTTTCCGGAACTGTCATTTGCGAACAGCTCAAAATTTTCGCTTAACTGGATTATGCAAAA